ACCTCCAAAACAGAGGGATCCCAATCCCCAATAGATGTGCTTTGTGCCTTTGTGAGAAGGAATCAAATCCCCATCTATTCATCCTTTGCGACTTTACATACGAACTTTGGAGGCTAGTGTTACAACTCTTTGGTATAAAATGGGTCACCCCCCCTACAGTCAAGGCCTTGATCTCTTACGATCTAGATTCATATTGGCCGAAGGCTGGAAGAATCTTATAAAAGGCTACCATAACTGCAACCATGCGGACAATCTGGGTGGAAAGGGATATCGGAATCTTTCAAGGATTAAAACTCCACACTTCAGCACTCCTACAAACGGTAACCTCTTTGGCCACTTTCTTGGCCTATAACCATAAGGTTTTCTTGGGCATACCGGGGAGCTTTTTCCTTGGTCAATGGAAAAATATCCTTCATCACCAACTGGCAGCATCAAGCTGAATTTTGATGGTTGCTCCTTTGGGAATCCTGGCCCGGCAGGGGCTGGGGGGCTCTTCAGAGACCATCATTGTAACGTCCTCTTAACCTATTCTGAGCATCTCGGTCTCAAGGAGTCCCACGACGCTGAAGCCTTAGCCCTCTTACTGGGCCCAAAAGTTTTAACCATTCTTGGGGCTCAAAGCTGATAGTGGAAGGAGACTCACTAAATGTTCCCTCCTGGGCAAGTAGGGCGGCTTCTCCACTGTGGCACTTAACCTCAATTTTTGACGAAATTGATCACATTTGCAGGGCTATGGGCATCTCATGGAAGCATGTATGGAGGACATCCAACGAGTTCACAAATCTCTTAGCGAAAGAGGGAGCTAGAATCCAAGCAGAAGATCAAGCCGGGTCCGACTCCTTTTTGCTCAAGACCACAAGCACATAGCATAAACACCTTGTATTTGGGCACCTTCCAGCTCTGCTTTATTTTTTGAAAGCTTCATGTAAGTCCTTGTAATCGGGCGATTCCTATAAGCTGCTTTTTTGTACATGACAGGCTAACGCATTTTTTACCGAGTCAGTAGGCGACATTGGACTCTCATATCCATATAAACATCTCTCCTCAGAAATACAATGTTACCTTTTCTCAAAAAGAAACACCTTGCTGATATTAAAGGGAATGATGCTTCTTGTAAAAAGGTTCCTGAAGCTATTCGAGATGAGATTAGACAACTTCTGAATTTAAAAGAACCAGAAAATGATGAAAATGAACCTTGTTCACGGAAATATCTTCTTCAGGTTCTTTTAGAAGTGGTGATCCGAGTTGGAAGTATGGTTATAACCCGAATCCGAATAACAAAAATCGTATTAAATTTAATTATTGTGAAAAGGATACTAATGGGGGTATTTACTGGTTTAAAAAACACCTTGCTAGTATTAAGGAGGATATTGCCCTCTGTAAAAATGTTCTTGAGGCTACCAAGGAAGAAATTATACAATATTTGAATTCAGTGAAGCACAAAAAGATACAAAAGGGTAGAGCAACCAAGACTCCTAGGGCCTCATCTGCACATACTAATAAGAGGGAGGTAGAAGAAGAGGAGGAAGAGGCAAACTCAGAAGAAACAGAGAAGGACGAGCGTTATATTGAAGAGGGAGATGACTCTGATGATGATGGCCTCGATTCTGATGCATATAATGAAGCAGACCCTATTCCTTCTGAAGATGATGATGATGATGACTGAAGACACTTGGTGTTGAGTGTTGACTGTTCTGTTGAGTGCTGACTGTTGTGTCCTAGACTGTATATTTTCTTAATTTCTGTATATTTTCTTTTTCTTATTTTTAGTTTTTACTTTCTAGTTTCTAGTTCTACTAACTAAGTTTTGTGTATACATTCTACAGTGCATCAAACTATCAATGTATGCTTGTATGGTTTTATTGTTTTAGCATTGCATGAAAAATATGGATTATGGTCATATGGATTATCAAAATGCTCTTCTCGACTTCTATCTCTTTTTTTTAACTAGGATTATGGCCTTATTTTTTATTTTTTTTATTTAAACTGGACCGCCTAGGTTCTAGGCGGCCGCCTAAGCGCTGAGCGGCCTGGACACCCATGGCCGCCTGGGGGCCGCCTAGCGCTTTTTGAAACTATGTACCAAACACAGGTTTCCCAGCTCCCTCTAAATTCTAGAAAAGTTACCAAACACAATATTTTACACTACAAGGAGAAAGACCATCTAGCTTCTCGGGAGAATGAACTTCCCGGTTCAAAATACAACCAGCTTTCAGTTGTCAAACAGGCCCCCCAAACAAATCCAAACTTCATAACCTTTTACTTTTGCTCCCTAGCCTCAGAGTGGGTGATGGTTATGCAGATCTTCAGTACAATCTGGTTGCTCAGGGAAGCGAGGTTCTCCGGCCAGCTTGAGGGTTGCCCTCGCCAAGTTCAGTACGCCCATCCTAAAGACCAAGGGCATCCGCAGTATTCTATAAACTGGAGGTCTAAGAGGGCCAGTTATACTGGACCCAGGAGCGAACGTCCCCACTTTGTACATGCTTTATTTTAAGCAACAAGAGATTGTTGTTTTAATTTTGTGCCTCTGACCGCTGGTTTTATCCGAGCCATCGAGTCATTCAACACGCACACACGAGCACATTTTGAAACAACATAAGGAAATTCTCAAAACTTGATATTTTGGGCCTCCAAACTTGCCCCCTACAAATGGAGACTATAACCCATTTTTTACCACATTTTCCATATCTACCAGCCTCATGAGTCTTGTTTCATCACATTTGGAGGGAGGCCAACTTTGTTGTTGATGCCCTCACAAAAGAGGACATTGCTTGTGGGAATCCTACCCAGCCTCCATAGCAGCCAACTTAGCTTAGGATACACCCCCATTTTTTTCGTTTATGGCCACTGTACCCTCTTTCTTCTTCCCATTTTTTGGTTTATGGCCATTGTACCCTCTTTCTTCTTGACTTGTCACGAGTCCTAATGGAGGTTCTCCACAATTTTGTATGCATCCTATACCTAAGCACCCAATCTGTGGGATGCCTTTTCATACCTACACCTTCAGTGGTGTTTTACAACAACAATATAACACGTCATTAATACAAGTTAACTATTCTCCCAGACAAATCTATTGAAAATTTCTACACATGCATGTCAACATGGATTCCACGTGTCTGTTTCCATGACGCATTTCTAGTGAGTAGGCAATTCTACTAAATGCACACGACCCGCATGCAGCCAAACCATTCCTAAGGACCCTATTCATGATGATCACGAAGCTCTATAGACCCACCATGTCTCATTTGTTTCACTTGGTTGTCCTCGACGAGCCCTTACTAGAGGATCATCTACCGCAATATCACATGAGTGACCAATGACATTTCAACATGTCATAAGATCAGCGAACAATGAGGCAAACTCTATGTCGACCAAGCAGAGAGGGTGGTACCACCTCATAGACCAACTGAGAGGCATTCCAAACTCAATTTTAATGGAAATTCTCAAGGAAACCCAGGATTGGCAGGTGTTGGAGGCATTCTCAAAGATTTGTATTGGAGGACATGCCACTGAAGGGCACTTGGGAGTCACTGATGCAACCATGGCAGAGGTGTGAACATGACCGGCCATGAACCAAATTGTTACCAGCGGCCCTTGGTTCTAGGAAATCAAGGATGGTAGCCTTGGTGTTATTGGATGGGTCCGTAAGGAATCACTGGGACTATGAGGATTGCCCCAATCATGAGGAAATATGAGGGTTAAGTGTGAAGAACATCATTTCTTTCTCCCATACTCTTTGAAGGAGAAAAAGGTTATAGACAGGCTCACAAGGGAGGGGACTCATCTAAAGGCTTTAGTTATTTCTTTTTATGTTCCAATTTTATGGTGACACCTCATCTTCTTATCTTGCTGTTTCTTTTGCACTCTGTTAACTATTAATAATATTGTCACCACATCTCTGAAGAGGGAAGCATTCAAAGGCCCAATTAAGTTTTATCATTAATAAATCTCCTTGAATCTGTTAGTTTAGTAACCCAATTAGATGGATACATGCTCAGCTTCGACAATAATGCTAGTTTGCATTTACATTAAGTGAAGAAGAAAAAGAGACCATCAAAGCATCAATTCAAAAAAAAAAAAACCATCAATTGAAAGCATGCATCACCCAAAGCATAGGTCATCCAAGATAAACTGCATATCACTATCAAGGCATTCCCCATAAATACACAAATTGCCACATCCAATTTCAAAACATATAAAACAGCAGGCCATTAATCACATCACCGCATTCCCCATAAACACACAAACCGCCACGTCCAATTTCAAAACATATAAAACAGCAGGCCATTAATCACATCACCGCATTCCCCATAAACACACAAACCGCCACATCCAATTTCAAAACATATAAAATAGCAGGCCATTAATTACATCACCACAAACCCAAGCTTTGGAAATCTTCTTCATCTTGTTTACATTTACAATCAAACCAAACCCCTTTTTCCAACACCAAATATTTGGAGAATCGTGATTTTATTTAGAACACCAGAAAATATACAACTAATAACTGCCAAATTCATGGGGTATTCATTGGCATGAAACACATGAAACTTGGAAAACCTTCTTATTGGTTGTAGCCATGTAACATTATTATACTATGCATCTAACTAGAAATCTAGATAAGAGATGGGAATACATTCAAATATCCCAAATCCAAGGAAAAACCATGAAACAAGAGAGTCCTAATTTTATTTAGAACACCAGGAAATATACAACTAATAACTGCCAAATTCATGGGGTATTCATTGGCATGAAACACATAAATCTTGGAAAACCTTCTTATTGGTTGCAGCCATGGAACATTATTACAATAAGCATCTAACTGGAAATCTAGATATCAGATGGGAATGCATTCACATATCCCAAATCTGAGGAAAAATCATGAAACAAGTTTTTCTCAAGTAATGCATCACAAAAGGCCAACACATCATTTAGAACCCAAAGAAACATTGAGGCGTATCAGATGAATAAACAGGTAACATTTCTAGTCCTATACTTACTTCATTTCCTAGCACCTTTTGTTGGCGAAGCACTTGTTTCCAAGAATATCTTCTTCCAGGTGCAATAAAATCATTGAAGGACTCACCAAGTGGAACTTTAGAAGGGATAATGGCGACAATACGCTTTCCAGAGTTGGGGCAATCCAACCAACCTAACAATTAAATAAAATCATTTGACTTGCGGACAAGTACAGTCAAATATTTGTATGAAATTGATTTGATTACACACAACAGAAGCAATTCAAAGCTAAAATTTAAATTTTGCAAAATTCAACATGTACAAACTGTCATGTTTTCTATTTAAACAACTATGCTACAGCAATCCCCTTCAAACCAATATCCTTGGTGGACCCATCTTTATTCAGTTAGGAAAGGTTATCGGTTCTGAGAAATTATAGATTTTTCAGCTTTTAAAATTTAAAATAGGAGGATTTTGGTCATTTTATATTTAAATTCCCAGTTCACAAAAGGAAGTATGTGAGATATTAGTAAGTCTTCATACCCCATGCCTCTTAACAATTCATATAGGCTTATTTGGGCTCATGATAGAGGCGACATTTTCTCCCTAAGATATTTTCACACATTCCTACAGGATCCTGATGTTATGGCTCAGCCGGCATGACCAACAGCTCTCGCTTGAGGGTAGTTGGCCACATTGGACAAAGCCCTAATGTGTGAGCACCCTCATTATCAAGGCTTCAAGCTCCCTGATACATGTGCTGGGATGCTGAGAAAACACGAGATCACCTGCATTTATATGGAATTTCTTCCGAACTTTTTTTCCGGATGTATTGGATTAAGACTTCCTCAATCAGGACTAATTCAGTTTTGGGATCCATGGAGAGAGTGCAATGCTAGGACTTTTTCAGGTTGTAGGACACATCATACATAGCACAGTATACGAGAGGATAACTGATGAGGTCATTTTTTGGAAGAGAGACTAATTAGTTTTTTGGGAGTGAAACCCCAGGATTTTCTAATCAATTCAGGAGCAATGGCTAACTGATCAGCTCATAAGAGATGTCTCAATGCCAATTGACTCCCCCACTCATAGCTACTTCAAAGTTTATGGCAGTTCATTGGGTAATCCTAGCCCAGCAAAGTGGAGGGGCAGAATACGATGACCAGAAGAATGGGGACATGTTTTCAAAGAAGCCATTTTCTTTAATACACAAGGGCTGTTTTAGCCTTTGGCCAACAGAAAAACCATCTCTCTCTCTCCCTCACATTTAATGCAGTAGTTTTGACACCTTTACACACACACTCTGTCACAATTAACACAGGAGACGGACACCTTTACAGTCACCGTCCACTCATTATTTTTACTTAAGAATACCACATCTCCTTCAATTTACATTAAACGAGTACTCACCCTCCCTCACTCCCTCCCCTCAAATTTAATGGAGATTGGCACTCGTACACTCACCGTGTCAGTGCACCCACATGTTTAATGGGGAACCCTTTTACACGGGTCAATGCACCCACATTTTTAAAGTCAAAGTATAATACCATCCTTGAATAGATTAATTAGATCCCTTTTACACAACTGTTTAGACATCCACATGTTACAAAGTCAACTAGGTTCAAATTAGAAAAGGAAAGACATTAGGGCTGTTTTTACATAGATTAATGGGGACCCTCTGTTCAACATGTCGAGGCACCCAACTTATGCACCCGCCTGGCGGCCTAGACACAGGCAGGGGCCTTGGGCACATGGCCAATGGATGCCTCCTTGGCCCCTTAATTTTGGTGGCCCTCTGGGCCGCTTAGGTTAAATGAATTGTTTACATGGTTTTCTTTGTAATTTCAGTTCTTCATTTGAAGGAAATACTTGATTGTATTAATCGTTTAGTATCCAAGAAATGGGAAATCCACATGTTGGGTGCTCTATATCATAATGATGATAAAAACAATGGGGTATTTAGAAGCCGCATAAACAAAAAATTGGGGACTGATCATCATGCAAAGAAGAAACAGTTGTATAGTCTAATGGTTACCAAAAAATAAGAAGAAAGAGGAGGAAGGGGAACAGATGGGCAGAGAGAAAAAAAGTAGGAGGAGAGAGAAAGAGGTTCATAACAATGTCTTATGCTTCCCGGTCTTGCTCGCCACGTGTGGGTCCTAGCTTCCCCCTCCTTAGCAAGGGAGTCAGCAATCTGGCTGGCCTTCCTCCACAGGTGAGAGAAGCTGAACGGTACGTCAGCTTGATTATGAAATTGCAGTATGATTTTGATATTCAAGAGGTCAATGGTTTTACAAATGGAAACCGACATAGTAAAAAGGATTTATATCAGATTTGGGAGGCATCCAGTTTGAAACAATGTCTCCAGCAGTACTACTATACATACAATATTTTCATCTCTTATTTATTAAATGAGTGGCATGATCCTTCCCTTCAAGGTTTGGCCATAAACTAAAAGAAAGGGAGAGCCTACTTTTTAATGACCCTCTTAAGTGGATCCCTTCCCTCTTTCCAAGGTCAACTTCAACATGACAGTAAACACGACTTTACAAACAAGGATGACTGAAGATTTAGTGAAAGAGGCGATCGACAACCTAGATCTCTACAGTCAGTTCGAGGGAACCCCTGGTTCTGTCCTCTCTCCCTACTACCACATTATTTTTCAGACAAATATCACAAAGTAAAATTAGAACAGATCAATGATTCAGTGACCGTTGAGACGCAATGAGTTGTTTATCCAGAGAAAGGTGAAATTTTATTAACTACAGTAGGAGTACAACCTAGTGCAACAAAAGAAATAGATGATAATAGCTGCAATGGATTTTTTAGCTAATAGATTTCACATTGGATTAAAAATCATAGTCTTAAGTCTATGAAGTCTCAACTGGTGCTTTCATATTTTCTTATTTCTTCTTTAAACCATCTCTCATTCTGTAATGCTGATTTTTATGACTGATATTCTAGTAGTGTTGAATTAACTGAAGCCCCAACCTCAAAATCAATATTTTTTTAGTATGACACATAAACGAAGAATCTATATTCAACATAGCTTACAATAAGGTTGCAAATTTCATTATGGCATACAAAAATTTCTAGAGAAATGGCCAACTCTGACAAATTTTAGACAAAAGTGTAAATTTCAGCTATAACACTAGGAAACCTTGGCCTGGCTAAGGTAGGTAGGCCCATTTATCTTGAGGGTAACAGAGCTATCATCTCTGCTCCTTTAGGGGTATATGACTCAACTAAAGCAGAGGCCAACAAGCTGCTCGCTGGCATTAGATTGGACAGGTCTTTGCGCTTTGCTTACTGGAGGATGGGGATAGCCTAAATGAGATTAGAAGGGCACATTGAGAGATAGATAACAGCAGTCGAATTATTCCAAAGATTAGGTCTCAGTCTCTCAAATCCACAAAGAGGGAAATGAGGACGCAGACCAGTTGCTGGGGAGGTTTTTTTTTTTTTTGGCAGGGTTGCAGGTTGGGGTGGCTGAGAGTGGTGCACAAAAATCTCTATTGCTTGATTTTATATGTATTCTTTATGTTGCGTATATGAGTGGGATGTGAGATGCTATCTCACCATCTCCTTTCTGGTTAGCACTTACCATATTTGATTGCCTGATTCAGTGAAGCAACCATTAAACTATCTCTAAAAAAATCAGAAAAATGCAAACAAATGAATTTGATAAACTTGGGATTGTTCCCAACACCTGAATCATGAAATCCTCCACATCAAACACATCCAAATTGAAGAGATGCTTCTTTATTCATTTACATGGTACAGTTGGGAAGAGTACAAGTCGCATGACCGAAACAGTATGTCTACCCTCTGTAACGAAGCAAGCATGTTTTGCCACGTCTCTGACAATGACTCAAGCATCAACAGAGAAACTTCTTCTCTCATATATTTTAACAGACAGCTACCATACAACATCCTTCCTCGCCCCCATTCTTTCCCAGATACAGGACACAGCAACAAATTTATCAGATAAAATGATAAAACATAAAATAAATATTAAAGAAAGGAATGGTGCTTTTTAGCAGGACCAGGATCAGAAAAACCACCAATGAATCAAATGAGGGGGTCTATCGCAACAACTTTAATATTATAAACAAACGAAGAGATCCGTAGATGATCCAAACCATCAGGATAACCAAAATGCCAAGAGGCCTAAACACAATCCTTTCAGGATATTTATAACCAGTTACGTGAATACAGTAGACAACTTTTTTGAGTGTGATGTTTGATCCGCCAGATGTTTAGAGTCATCAACCCTATGGTATTGTCATGGGAACCCAGGTCATGAAAATCCCAATTATAATACTTGCCAAAACAATGAAGAGGAAATTCATAATGTATACTATCAGTTTACCCAAAAAAAATCCAAATTATAACTCCTTGCTCTAGACAAGTTATTCTCTGAATATTCTATCCAACAACAGTTCTTGCAGTAGTAGGGGTTCCACCCTGCAGTCCAGCCATTTGAAATTATTTGCCTCCAAATATAAGATCAACACCTGGGCTTACCAATAGACAAGATAAAAAGTAGTCTTATGATAGCATCAGAATATGAGCATCACAAAATTGCATCACTTAGGGAATGTTAGTCGACAAACATCGTCACAACCATTTACAGGGGGTCAGTGAATGTTATAAAATCACTGAGTAGCCCTGACCTCAATAAGATATACCAAATGTGCCTGACGAAGTAATCTTCATATCGCAGAAGACAGAAGTACGTTCTCAAATTTGACTCCCTAATGATACACCTAATTCATCTTAAAAGTAGAGCGCTAAAAGTTCATGTTATCTGTATAAGGGGATACCCAAAAGAAATACTCACCAGTAGGTAGTTGCTGGGCTCTATCATGTGATCTAGGATTTCTTTGTTGAGGAACAGGATTGTACTTTGGTATTTGTGCTGGCCGCTTTGGCTCCTCACTTTGATTTTCTCTTTTCCTACGTTGACGCCTCTCTTCTCGTTCCTAAAGTATACATAATCCAAATTGATAGTTAGAATTGAGATATCATAATAATACCACATCAAATAACTTTTAAGATTTCCTATAGCAGAACAGATACTAAAATTAAAAAGTAAAAAACTCGGTAGGTCCACATGGTATGTTTTTGGGAAAATTGCAAGGTTTGAAACCTTGACTTCCCTCACAGAAAACAGATGGATTGGTCCCAAGCATTTGCAGCCAAGAAAATCAGATGAAATGTATCAAAGTGATCCACTACAATAAATCAAGTTAAATACTAGCCCACCAATTGACATAACAGAACAATGTGATACAATATAAATCTGATTGTTTTTCTAAAAAGCCATTGCATGTAGCTAGTTCATTATTCAGCACTATCCTTAAGCCAATCTCTAGACCCTGTTGGGGTCATTTTTATTACAATTAAAATTATTTTCACCAAAAAAAACAAAAAATGGGGCAGATTCAAGACACATCTAACAGTTCAGGGGGCTCTGAACAACGTTATCATTGCCCTGCACTGGTTATCTAGTGTTGTACTGTAAATTGACTATTAGTCTCTATGTTTGACAAATTTATCGTGTTTTTGCCCAAGGGTATCTTAGTTTTCTGTAAATAGTCTGTGTTTTTACTTTATTGAGTAATTACCTATGGGTATCTTAGTTTTCTGTAAATTGTACATTTAATAGGAGTCATGTAAAAGAAGTGCTTTTTAATAAGGAAAATATCCCAAAAAAGACTGTAGGATGTTTCATATCACCTCTATGTTCCAGAATTTTATCCCCTTTACCTCCATCCAATGTTTGAAAACCTGGATCGGCGACCCGGCTGGCCCTATAGAAAAAAAATTTCGGATAAGTGGATCAGCAATCCAAATCAGTGGATAGGCTGGATCCGATCTTATAGTCAAAATGAACTTTACAGTCAAAATGAACTGTACAGTCAAAATGAACTTTACAATCAAAATGAAGTTTAAAATGCAACTCATTACAATTAAATGGATCTCTCCAATTCAAATTTTTTATTTTTGTATTTTATAATCTCCAATGCCACTTGCACTTGTAAAGATAGGGGTTGTTGCCTACTCATTCCATATTTTCCCCATTTTCTGAAAATTAATTCATTAAATTATTTATTTATTTCCATTAGCACTTTTATTGATGTTTTATTTTTCCAGAGATGTCATATTTAATTTATCTGTCTAGAGGTGTCGCATTTATTTCCCTTCGTATTTAGTTTTTCTCTCATTATCCGCTTGAAAATGGAGGCCCCACATGCTCTCCATTAATTTAGCATACAAATTTTCTTGCATAGAGTTGGGGCACAATCATCATCATCATCTAAGCCTTATCCCAACTATTTGGGGTCGGCTACACGAATCTTGTTCCGTCATTCTACTCTTTTTAAGGTCAATACCCTCAATCAGACCATAAGTCACCATATTTTTTCTAATTACTTCCACTCATGTCCTTTTGGGCATTCCCATGTCCTTTTAGAGCCTTCCCCTCGAACCAAATCACTTCTTCTAACTAGCATTGTTCTAGGTCGATGTTGCATACAACTAGACCACCTAAGTGTACCTTTCCTCATCTTATCGCCTATTAGAGTTATCCTTAAGTTCCTTCATATGTATTCATTTCAAATTCTATCTTTTTTTATCTTGCCACTCATCCATCTCAACATCATCATCTGAGCCACGCTCATGCTATGGATATGTTGTTTAGAGTTGGGGAAAAATCATGTACAAAAAAAAAATCGGAGAGATCTCTCTCTCTCACATCCCCACATTCTCCCTCAAATGACACCTCTTTCAATCTCTCTTTCATCCCCACATATTCTTTTCCTTGAGAGGATCTCTCTCTCATCCTCAATTCTCTCCCTAAATGATCTCCTTCATCCATCCTCATTTTCTCTCTAGATGACCTCTCTATCTCTCTCAACAGCACACACCCATACGCTCTGCGTGATCTCCTCATATCCACATATTCACACACCCTTTCTCAGTCGCACCAAACCAAATTCTATGTATAGATTTTTTCTCTAAACTTCACATACCCATATCATTTCTCTAAAAGGTCTTGAGATTTCTCTCTTACACCAAACTAAATAATCTTCTCCCTCCCTATCAAGTCTCAGCTTTACCTGCCAATTTCCCATTTGTATAAAAGCTCACTCTCATACCCACGGATTCATGATCTATCTGTTGCCTAATTGAGAAAGAGGGGGTGAGATAGATGGAGAGAGAGAAAAAATATAAAAAGGTATGCCAAATTAAAGTCTTGTCATGGTAGGACTTCATTTTGTGGGTTTTATTATAAATTGTTTTGAAATCAACATAAAATTCTTTTAATTTGATGTTCCTTGCTTTCTTTTTGTATCTAGATGCCTACCTATGCAAGGTCTTCCTTTAAATGTTAAAATCTACTTGAGCTTTTTATTTGTAATATTATTATTTTCAGTTATTTTAAATCAAGCCCATAAAAGTAGAGAGATCTTTATTTGTAGTATGATTGTTTTTCGCAATTCTAAATGGAGCCCACAAAATAGGGAGGGAGGGAGGGAGGGGGGGGAGAAGGGGGGGGGAGGGGGAGAGGGGGGGGGGGTGGGAGAGAGAGAGAGAGAGATATTTTAAGTGGTGTATATGCTCATAGCCTACAAAAGTTTAAGTTTTAAACTTTAAAAAATTTATCCCACATTGGGGAGGTTGGAGGAAAGTTGGGCACTGATGAACTACAAAATACCACATGGGCACCTAGTGGGTGTCGGACCATCATCATGGAAATATGATGCCTCCAGTAAATAATAAAAATTTGAAAAATACAAAAATTAAACCAAAAATAAATATAAAATTTACATGAAAAATTAGGGCCTTAGTAAATAAAAAATTAAAATTTATAACAAATAAAAAATTTTATGGAAATCGGCTGGTTCCTACAGGGAACGGCTGGTTCCATATATATAAAGGGAACTGGACCAATTCCCCCAAAAACTGATTTGGATTGGGTGATTTCGTTCCAAGTAGGCCCTTTCTGACGAGTTAAGTAATGGTTGCAACCTTGATGTGAACTAGCTGAACCTTTTAACACATTACAACTTATTATTTATGTTATGACAATTCAGTTGGTTCCCATTTCTATCATCTGCAAAAAATTGAAGACCGAAGCTCCGTGGAAAGCCTCTTTATCAGAGACTTGACCCGATGGCTTGCGCCTTACCATGTCGTTACTGCTGAGTTCAAAACGCCATTTTATTTATGAGTTAGCCCATCATGAGTATACTTTATGTACTCATGTATATACTGCAACAGGGGAAGACAATAGTCTCCAGATGAAGGCGGCACTCAGAAATAACAAACCTAGCTAACAATCCAACTTAAGTTATGATCTAGGTATTTGCTCAAATCTTAAAGTGAGGACAAATGTGACATTTCCTCTTCATAGTCAGGAAAAATATGATATAATTCTTGGAACATGCCAGCTAAGGAACAATCAAAATCTGAATAGGGGATCTCATATTCAAGTATGCACAGAAAAGGAACAAGAGATATTCTAAGATTCAGCTCCCTATGAGTAAGTTTGACGTAAATAAAAGAAGAAACCAAACAAGAAATAGTAGGTATCTATCATCTGGTTGCCTTTGATGGAAACTCCTTCACAAAAAAAAAATCAATAAAAGAAGCTTAAGGATCAATAGACATACTCTGCGCAGAATCTCAACAGCTGTCTCTACATGTCCATCTACAGTATCTTCCTCAGCTTGCTCTTCAAAAATATGCTCCTCTTCATCGTCTTCTGGAACAGGAGAGGCATTTAAGTCCATGGAGGCAGTCAACCATCCAGCGTGCTGGTAGTCACTTTGCTGATTTTACATTTTCCAACAGCAGCCCTGCTATTGTAATGACAAGTAGCACTTGAATCAATAACATTAAATATATCAACCTGACCCAAAAAAAATTGCAATGTATCAATATGCATATATTCTCAAATAGTCCCTCTGCATCTAAATTCGACTCATTCTTGTGGATTCCGATAAATTTACGTAGAAATGACATTTAAATCAAGTTCAAAGGAAGAATAATAAAGAAAAAGAATAAGAAAAAATGAAATTTTCCAAGGTCAAGCAGGTATTGTTTTACTCTTCTTCTTTTTTATGGTATCAGTCATAGGAATTGAACTTGAGATGTAGTATTGCTTGACGACAACTGCTAACCACTCAAGCCCGAGCCCAATTCCTAAGGTCAGAAGCTCCAGCTAGTAACGTCTCAATGGCAAGTATTTTGAGAAGCAGCACAGTTTAAACAAAAAAGTCAGCAAGTATTTTCAGAAGCACCACAGTTTAAACAAAAAAGTCACAAGGTAATGTAATGAAGTCACCATGGAGCGCACTTGGTTTCAAAGATACAGTACAGGGCCATCTGCAAGCATTAATGATTTTGAAGTGCGACATTTTTCAGAAAATTGCAATGCTTGAAGGAGAAAAGAACACAGGCGAAGAATCGAAACAAGATCAAAACAGTCAACTGAGTATTCACATTCCTGAGTGATTAAAAAGTTCAATTTAGCCAACAGAGATAGCAAGGAATGACGGATGACAATATTAGACCAACCAAATTATAGCAAACTCAAAAAGCTGCCAACATGTACATAATCTGCACATGAATGTAATAAATGTATTGTAAACTAATCTCCACCAGGTCACAAACACAGTTAAAACTCAAAGTAAAAACTAATTTCACACCAAATATCAATCTTGTTTAAAAAAAAGTATCTGTATTGACAAAAAATATTTAGGAACGGGGATCAGTGAAGCCAAAATAATAACACAAGAATTATACGCCTCTAATTCCACAAACATTCAACAATAACATCCCCAACAACCAGGAGAGAATCTCTCACCCACAAAATCGAACAGAATACAACAAACCTTCTTTAGGTGAAGAACCAGAGCAGACACGAAAAACCCTAGGTCTTAAGAGAGAATCACTGTAAGAGTGAAACTGATTTGCCCTAATTTTTATCTCACGGCCCGCCTCCCCTCTCTATGAGCGCACCTCTCTCTCTCTCTCTATCTCCCACTCTTTCTCTCTAGATTAATAATACTCGCCTTTCAAACCTGACTGACAAAATTAAAGAAAAAAAAGGGACCATAGCTCTTCCCCACTATTGCTTTCCTAATTACTGGAAAAAACGTGCATTCCCCCCTGCATTATTTACCCTCGCGGCTCGTTTCTTTTGTATTTATTTCCTCGCATTACCGTCCACCCGCGGGACCATTTTGTGCGTGTACTCTCTCGAGTTTAAGACTTTCTGGATCTGACCATCCTGTAATTGGACGGCCCATGTCCAATGAGAGGACATTCTTTTTATGCGTGTGAAGTTTATTTTAAGTGGGTAGCTTTGTTGTTGAGGTTGTATCCCAATCTAGAGTTTTATTTCTTGTACGTGCGACCACGGTCCTCACCAAGGTGCTCTGTTTTTCAATTTCAATCTTTTCCTTTTTTTTTTATCTTAGAGCTATTATTTTGGAGTTAGATGCTATAAAAATGTTCAATTATGATAAAAAGAATTCTTTTTTTTTTTACTCTTAGTCCTCAAATGTGAAATCCATCAACTTGGTATTTGATAAACTTTTACTGTAGTGTCTTTGGAATCACCCTTGCTCCCGACTTCTTGGGAATCACCCCTGCGCCGGAAACCCTTTATGATAAACTTTTGTGCTGAAAATTTCACAATAGGAAAGCTAGAAACTGTCTTTAATATTGTTCATTATGTATTTCATTGATATAATGTGCGCAATACAATTTTTAAAAAATATTTTATAATTAAATAACATTCATTCCATTCATCCAGCATAGTACCAAAAATATAAATAGATTCAAAAAATAACAATACTTACATAAATATTGAAGAATATTGTCATCAAGTCCATCCGCATCTAATGCTCTCTCTCTCTACACAGACGTTACATGAAATCTCAAGCATCGGTGACATTTGGGCATGAGGCAATTTAAACATATACAATGTATGAAAACTCAAGCATCGGTGACATTTGGGCATGAGGCAATTTAAACATATACAATGTATGAAAGTCATCTGCCCATTTTTCTTTGAATAATTCTTCAAGTCGGAAATGAGAGAGCAAATATATATCATTTATTTGAGAAATAGATATTTAAAAGTTTGAAAGCTAACCATTTAATATTGCCACCACACCAGTACATTAAAAAAAGGATAAGTTTGTATTTTTTGAAATAATAACATAAAAGCAATCACTTGAACAAAAAGATAATGAGAGAGATAGAGAGAGGCATAGATAGGTACATCACAATCTTGAGGCACACGCATGTATGCATACACTAATAATTTCGGCATTGTCGATATTGTCCCCACATTTTCTACTATAATTTGTGCCCTCAATTGTACCCCAACATTATGGGCAGCCCTACTCTAAGAATTAATATCCTTAAGTTCACTTCTTCAGCTTCGTCTTCATATGATTCAGTTCTAACATCTGATTGAGTTCTATCGCGCAACTCGAGATTTCTCATCACCTCGCTAAGAACTTGACGTTGAAAAGCTTTCTGGGTTGGCCTCATTCGGATATAAATTTACAAAATACAAGTGGCATTTACCATTTTAACTTGTGTCATAAGCGGATATTGAAATTGGGACCTCAAGATAGGAAATCTCGCTTTTCATACCCAAAAGGTGCGCTTCACGACATTTCTTAATGATGAATATCGATGATTAGATAGCTCTTTTGGAGTCCTCAGAGACCTCCTTCCCTGGGTTTCACTAAGGTGGTACCATGTACCACGATGTGGGGCAATGAATCCAAGCGTAGTAGGGTACCCCGCATCCACAAGGTAAAAGTTACCAATATGTCCAATATGTTAATATTTTTTGTTATACTTAACTAGAAATGTTTAATAGATAAATTTATTTTTTACCTTGAGGCACTGTTAATGGATGTCTATCCCGCTCAATAGCATTATGCAGAATTCTATAGTCTGCTACAGAACCTTCCCGCTTGGCTAGTACATAGGTGAAGCACATGTCGAAGTTAACTGCAGTCAAGACATTTTGAGATAGTTCCTCTTTCCGATTACGGTATCGCTTTTGCAGTGCCTTTAGAACCCAAGCAGGAATGTGGGTCCCATCCAACACTCTAACATAACCGTAACATGAAAATTCCTAAATAAGCAATTGTAATATGATCATCATCATTTATTAAATATAAAATATACATAGTGTTCACCTTGATAAAATGGAAGAATCTCGTATCCCCTTTGATTTTGCTTGGTGTTTCTGATGAGACAGGGAAGACAAAATACAGAACCAATCACAACATTGCATTTAGGACTCTATTGAAGTAATAGCTAATAGTTTGCCTATAATGCTTAAACTGAATTTGCATCACCCTATTACGCTCATTACGTAAGATTGTATTTAGGAGTATGGCTACTTGTTATTCTACCATCATATACCGATAATTACGAAGAAGATCATCTTCCTTTAAAATTCCACACAAGCCTAGAAAGGCATCTATGTCCATCCGCAATAAATTGAAACAATTGTTCTCATGAGATTGTATTAAAGATGAAACAAATGAGGCACCAGTTAAAGAACATGTGTGAACATGATTCATCGATATCAGGTAGTTATAGTAGTACCAAACACAACACAAGGTTGCTGCATACACAATAATATACCTCATATAAATTTCATTTACCTCATATGGGTCCATATTGACAGTCTAACTTGCGACTTCCAGCATAGACGTACATTTTACGCATGAGTAAAAAACCATCTATATAAACTAATAAAAAAACCTTGCCACATAAGCCATACAAAAAAAACCAGCCACATAAGCCTTGCAAAAACCGCTATCAACTTTAAGTATAGACAAAAGCAATTCACATTAGCCATGAAAAAATAACCATCCACATAAATCATAGAAAAAAATAAAACAATCCACATAAACCATAAGAAAAGGAAATCCACATAATGCATAAAAAAATAAAACATCAACATAACGTATAGAAAAATAAACCATCCATATAAAGACCATCTACATAAAGCATAGAAAAATAAAACAATCCGCATAAACCATAAAAAAAAGAAATCCACATAATGTATAGAAAAATAAAACATCAACATAAAGTATAAAAAAATAAAACATCCACATAAAACATAGAAAAATAAATCATCCATATAAAGGTCATCCACCTAAGCAAAACAAAAGCATCTAAATCATCTGACGCATAATAAAAAACAAAGAAAAAAAAATCATCACCCAAGTCAGCACAGTTTAATATCATAACCAACCAACATAGAACTACTATTGCGGCATATGAGTCTGCAACCATAGCTTACGTTACCGCAGAACAATGGATAGGAATATACTGGCATTCCCGAGATCCACAAAATAAGTCAGCAGCCCTAATGTACAATTGTCAATCAATACATTCATCTTTGTAAACATCAGACACAATATCCATGCATTTTGTCTGAAAGACGACCGAATGTTCCAACACCTTATCTGAATGTTCTATGAAGGTCGAGAATGAACTAAGTGTATGAGCCAGTTATTGTCCTATTGTGTTTGCTCCAATTACCTCCTAAAAGCCCCAATGATGTAAATGAATGATCACGATTCTTCTTTCTGGTTCTAGGGGAGGGCCTGCTAGCATCCCGGCCATCGGCATCAGATATATCCTTTGTGTCCACTGTATCGCCCTCCACATATTGTGGCATTCAATCCCGATCCTCTGCTTCTGGCTCCAGCTCATTGTCCCCCATAGCCGATGATTCCGGGTCAGCACCATCCAAGATAGAAGCACTTCTATTTCCCACAGCTATCCCTTCAGCAAACACAGATTCCATGTCAACCATAAGAGTGAAGCTCTTGCTCTTATATTTTGATGCCCAATTGTGGTTCTACGATAAAACAACATTGCCAAATGAACCTATAGACACATGTTAAATAATAAATAATTTTAATAAAAAGTAATATTGTTAGCCTATACCAGGCAATACTTACCCAATCTGCAGTGACCATCATCCTCTCTTCAACCCATCCAAACATAAATTCTGCTAAAACTTTATTAATATTACTATAATTAGTCTTCAATGTCTGTAGTCTACTCTTTATTCGTCTTCGGTCATATCCTGGGTCATATGTGTCACACATCTCACTCATTATTCTGACCCATCCCTCCCTACAAAACACCCCATTCGACATCAAGTTGTCTTTAGCACAACGGGCCATCACATCTAGCAATTTGTCATCGTGTGGAGATGTCTAGTTATAGTTCATCACATTGTTATTAGAATACATAGCTAGATGGTTAACAACAATTAATATACTACATAGTCGTACATGACAAATATACTGATAGAGCAACTTACATGTATTAATAAATACTCGAACATCGTAACATCATATCATTCAATAAGAAGCACATTCTAATAATAAAAGAAACTATGACCATTCATCATTGAATTCATGTTTTGGCATAGTACATAACTTTGTATATAGATAAACTAAATTACAATATCTAAGATTAAAAGCTATAATTATAGTACCTTCTATATAGTAGTTAGAGATGGGCCTACTGACGTAGTAGGTAAGTTTCTCCTAATTACTTCAAATACATTTTAGAAGGATTACTAAAAAGAGTAAAGCATTGATTATCCACAAGGAAAACAAAATTGCACATGCCTTAGTTCATCAACAATTGTTTCTTGAATAACACTTTGTTCTTGATTGACGATGACATCTTATTGCGATTGAAGAGATTGAGTCATTTGTGATTCGTTTTGTTGACTCAACTTTTCTCTATAGTCCAAAACTTCATTATAACCATCGCACTATTGAAAAAAAGTCCATCGTGGACACCTAAAGTACAATCTACCAGGATTTGTTTGGGAACTTGACATAACAGTGTTACATGGTATATGGCAACGAGAACTGGAACGTCGAGGTAATCCTCCATTATTTGTTGAGGCCAATGACATTTTCTAATGCCACCTAAATGTACATAGCCATGAGGCAATACATAAAAAAAGATAACACAAAAGCAATCGCTTGAGCAAAGAGATATTGAGAGATATATATATATATATATAGATGACAATCTTATAGCACACACATGTATGCATACACTAACAAT